GTTGAAAAGTAAAGAGCGAGAAGCCCAGTGTCGCCGCTGTTGAGACCGCACCAGATTGAAAGGAAACCAATAGAATTTTCCTTTACAAGATTAAAACATAACAAATCTAAAATCTTTACTTTTACTTTTTTACTTTACTTTTATACCGTGGTGTATTTAACAAAGCGAATGTGGTTTTTCGTTGTCTGTACTCTTATCGACAACGAGTATGCGTCATCACGGTGGTGAAAACGTTGTGGACTCACGAGGCACAGCTGCGCCGAGTGGGTCCAGAACATTTTTTTTTTTTTTTTTTTTTTTACTTCACTAAGATTTGGTATGCATTTGAGGTACCCATACATGTAGCTACATGTAGCAATCCCCAAAATTGACCCTCTGCAAACAATGATACAAGTACAAAGAGATCGCTAAATAAGAGGTAATGCACTTTGTTACTTTCAGAACTTTACCACTGGTATTAAGTACCTTTTCTTTTTGTCTCCAACCTCTTTTCTTTTCTTAATAGTTACTGCCTTCACTACTTCTTTGTTATCCATTTCAACATCGCCATCGTTGTCACCATTTTCGCTATCTTTACGTGGCATCTTCTCTGCAGGCTCAGATTTACATTCTCCATCTTGGCCTAAAGTTGATGCTCCTCTCTTTGAAAACAGAATGGAAAAATCATCACAAATTACATTAACTCCTCATGGACAATAGCGCAGTGTGGCTGAGTGGTTAGCAGGGCTCGAAAAAAGTGCCGTCCAGTAATGTTGTCCAGGACAAGCAGATTCTCCTAATGTTCTGGGTAAGTAATTTTTCATTCTCACTTGCCCAATGGGCAAGTGATCAGGCAATTCGTCTGCCAACTAAATCACTAAAAGACTAAACTAAGACTTGGCCAGGGCAAGCAATATTTGAGAGATAACTGTCCTAATGGCAAGCTGGAATTCAAGTTTTTTCGAGCCATGGTTAGGATGCTAGACTTGAAATTGCAGGTTCAAATCCTACTCTGACCACTAACTGGTGTAGTTCTCAGTAAATTGTAGCTCTGAGTTCAATTCTTTGGCATCCTTGTTATTAGTTAACTGGTCTACCTCCTGCAATTCGTCATTCAGCGATTGTTTGGATTAATTAGCGCTGAAAAGCCCCACTGGGGGAGTGGTCAATTACCGGTATTTGGATATTTTATCAGAAGACTGAGAAATTTCAACATTGTGATCGCTGAGAGCAGGCAAATTCATCATTAATTTTTAATTTTCACTGCAGTGCAAATTATACAGGCACAGCTGTAATTTTCACACAATAAATTAGTTGCTGTATGAAAACTATTGTTATTTGAAAATTCTATTCATTGCACCAGCCTGACAACTCGTGAAATTTTGAGAGATTTTTCAAACATCGTTACTTACTGTATGCTTATTTCTTAGCTCATTTAAAAATAAATAACCATTAATAAATACACAATTTAACCAACCTTAGTTGATGATCGCCTAGAGAACATTGGCTTTCCATTAAGGTGATTGGCCATAATCAGGGTGATAACAGTAAGAGTCTTTCCAAGCCCCATATCATCTGCTAGTATGCCACCTTTGGGAGAGTTAGGCTTTCTGTCAGTGGACCAGTTTGTTCCCTTGTTAAACCATGTGTTCTTGTTGACTTGTGTCCAGAATGCAGCTAGATCAGTATTGTTTTCTCTTGTTATCATCCAGTTTACAGCTTGCAGCTGGTAAGGGAACAGCCTTGTGGTAATGGCCTGTCAGTGGAATAAATTAATTACATTGTTTGCTGGGATAACCTGTTTTTGTCGTGTGGTACAAGTTCATGTGCATGCACTATCGTGTACTGGTAATAAATTATTATGCTGCATAAGGTGGTTCTTCAAGTCTGTGGATGAAACACTAGTGTGTGACCATTCAAACAAAAGCTATTGAGCAGTATTGTACTTCCGTGTCAACCATGTACGAGGTAGTTAGCACTTTTCATGTTACAGTCCTTAATAAGATGCTTTTTAACTTTTTTTTTTCAATAATTTCAAGTGAAAAGCAGAGCAGACTTTTTGAGCAGGCTTTTTAAGTTCAGATGGCCACGTGAGATGGACACTACGCCATCAGTCTTGGTTCCTACAATTACCCATTATTCATACATTGTAACAGTTTCATTGCCAAACTCATAACCTTGTTAAATGAAAACAGAGATGGGACTTTCCTTCAATGTTCATGGCAGAAATATTTATATTAATATATCTAAGTATCTTTACATATTAAGTCATTTCCCATAGAATTATGTACCTCGGGTTGCTCAGCTTTTGCTACCTTGTCATATTCAACCAGGCCATCAAAGAGTTGGTCTAAGACATTCAGTGGCTATAGAAGAGTAAGGACATAATTTATACCATCATTATTTTAGTACACAGGTAAATATGGTCATTTGGAGACAGAATCCCTTTACAACTCTACTGGGTAAAATGTTAAGAACATCATAAATGTATCATTCTCCTAACAGTCTGTCCAAAGTGAACTTAAATGTACATATACACTATGCACATGCAGTGTGATTGGGAATAATTCTGAGCTGCACGGTACATTAGTCCTGGGACTGGGGCCCTTGGCATGCCACCTTAATTCTGTGGATAAGGCAAGATGTACACTGTAAATGCATCTAAAAGTTCCTAAGTGTTCCAGCAACAGGGATCATACATCTAGGAAGTTAGCTTATCAACTTGTACAATGTAAGTCACCCTGGTTTCTACCCCTGACCTCCTCTCTTACACGTACCAATGGCAAACTACATTAGTCTGTAGCATTTTATGCCTAGTATTTTTTCCTGCACTTCCTCAGAAAGTTATCAATGTACATGTACATGTAGGAGAGAAACATTGAGAAAAGAGTCACCTTAGAACACAATACCTAGGATCCACAATACATGTATTCGCTTACCACAACAGGAAAAATCTGAGGCTTCACATCTTGTTCAGAGGGATTTACATCATTCACTTGGTTTGCTTTCATTCCATTACATGTGTAGTCACCTTGACAACTAGCTTGGCAAGTTGTACATTTAGGAACAGCTCCACTACCTTCTCCAGTGCTGGAAGGACCAGGACAGGAGCAAACAAGAATAGAGTTACATTTGCTGCATGAAGTGAAGTCTGGAAAAATAGCTGGAATATCAGGATGGGCAGTAGAACTGTTTGCAATTGGCAGTGATTCTAATGCAGCATTATCTGTACAAAGTTTGGCAGCAACTGTTGTTTGTGTAACATCTGCGGTAACATTTGAAGATGCGATTGGAACTTCGGGATCTAACTTTGTCATTGGTACAGGAATTGCAACCAAAGCTTTAGAATTGTTTGTACTTGGAAAAGATGAGCTTGAGATGGTTGCCACATTATTTGATACTGAAGATGAAGACCCATTTGAAATTTCAGGATCTAACTTTGTCGTTGGGACTGGAATTGCAACCAAAGCTGTAGAATTACTTGTAATGGTACTTGGAAAAGATGGGCTTGAGATGGTTGCCATGTTACTTGATATTGAAGTTGGTTCCAGATCCTCTACTTTGTTAGCCAAACTTGGAATAGCCAATGGTGTACTAGAATTCCCTGCCATAGTGCTGGTTGCTGAAGTATTCATTGGCAAGGTGCACATAGCAAGAGCTTGCGCCAACATTTGAGGAGTCACAACATGAGTGGTGGCAGTGGTTTGCGAGACATCTGATGCTCCAGTTGGAGCTAAAACTGTCGCAGCTGCTTCATTGCTTTCATGCAGTGAAATAGCAAATGTTGTTATAGGTTTTGAGGAATTTGAAAGGCTACTGTTGGATGATGTTCTTGCACAAGTAACAGCAGTGATTTTTGAGACATCTTGTGCTACAGCTCGGGCTGAAATTGTCGCTGCTGGTTTAATGCTTTCAGGCATTGCAATAGCAAATGTTGTTACAGATTTTGTGGAATTTGCAAGAAAACTAGTGGTAGGCGTTCCTGGCGTGACAAAAGAACAAGTTGTACTTTGAGCTGCTGTATCTTCATGTGTTACAGGATTTGACAGGCGAGCCTTTTTAGCTGATCTTATAAAATAGGGTGAAGTTGTGACACTGTCTACCAATGATGCATTAAGGGGTAAAGGAAAACCAGATTTGTGTTCATTGCTTTGGGACGCATCTGGTAATTTATCAGTTGAAATGTGTTCTGTAGAAACTTGCAGAATTTCAGAAGCACAGTTGTTAGTTTGAGCGAGGCTTGAGGCATTTGGTACGATCAATGTTTGTCCGTTACACTCTAGATTCTCTGAGCTAGAACACTGCGTCTTGGAATCTTCATTACTCCCCAAATCACTTGGCATGTCAAACGAAACTTCAGACGAGGTTTGCTTCATATTGACGGCCACTGAATCGAGAGTCTGTTCCATATTTTGAGGCACGTCTCCATCTTGGGTTGACAATGATTTATTTCCAGCCGAGTTACGTTCGCCGTTGTCCAGTTTTCCATCGAGATCGCTAGCTACGACACCGCTGTTTTCGTTTCTCACTGGTGAAGAACCTTTATCACAATATTGATCATCCTCTTGAAGGCTTGTATTCAGCGAGCCGTTCATGGTTGTAAAAAAATCCACTTCCGCCATGACGGGCATGGTCAAAAATTACAATTCTTCACCATTTTAGTCTCTTGAACTGTTGCAAATCACAAAAACAGTCTTACCGAAGACAAAGATCTCTATTATTGTCGTTAACGAAGTGGTATTACCATTGAAATCCGAAGACAAAAGCAAAAATATTCCGTAAACCAGCTTTCATGAGGTTTCGATTTTAGCGCGAAACCCGTGAAACATACCCAGGCCTTACTGCTCTGTCGTCTTCCATATTTAGAATATTCTCTGGGGAGTGCGTACCGAGAGCTCTGATTGGCTGGTTTGACAGAGAAAATGACATGTAACCTAGGCATTCGACAACAAAAGAACCAGACATATGGCGTGAAATAGGCAAACTTATTGTAAACAATGGAAGATGTGTTTTCTCAGTACTCACGACAATTGAACAGACATTTGCGTTTGCATTTTATTGTCGACAAACACGGTTTTATACTGCAAACATGGCTTCTTCACAGAATGGCGAAAAATCGCCATTGTTCTCGTCGGAAAAAAGCGCTCAGCGTGTCCCGTTTTCGAATGTTCGCGATAAAGCGATTTACGAGCACACTGCGGGAGACGAAACGGTTGGATTGGACCCGGATTACGAAAACCTGGTAGAAAACTTGGACGAACTTTCAGAGGAACAACTGGATGAACTACTTCGAGAAGCTCGCGATATAAACCAAAGATTGCGGTCTGTGGAGAGAAAACAAACTGTGCACGTTCACAGAGGAAGCATGGCTGATCACGAATTGGCCATGGAAGAAAGCGCATCAAGGCCAAGCCGATCTCACTTTTTGCCTCCGATTCAACAAACAAAGACTGCTATGGTAACTCAAGTTAACGTAATGAAGGGAATTGTGTCCCCTCAAGCCGGAAGAGTTGGAAGACGAGAAAAGTCAACCGCAACGTGAAACATGAGGACGATGTGGTAGAATATTTTTGTCAAATTGGAAGACTGTTTTTGGCTACCATGGAGACTTCAATTTAATATGGCCACATAGACAATGTTAGGAAAATGGAACAGGAAACGGAGAAAAATGTATTTTGATCATATGCTTTGCAGGATTTTCCTAAAACAGTCAGTCGTAATGTAAGATGTTAAAAACTCATATGGGACACCCGAGAAAGCTTTTAATACCGTAGCGACTATCAATCAATCAACCTTTATTTTAAAAGTTTCTACTCACCTTGACATAACGATTCTATTTATTCTTTACCTACGTACAATAGTTATTCAGGTATTTTATACCGAAAAAAGAGGATGTATTGAATCCTGTATAATTTTGAAATATATATGTGAAAAGAATGCTAACTCAGATCTAACTTAACGGTGGGCACATCGTAAACTTTTGTGAACAATGCACATAAAACATCCTGCATACATTGCCTGTATATTAGCATAAATTAATAGTTCGAAATAAAAAAAACCAGCTATTTATTGAAGTATTTTAAAGTTAATTTTCTGATTGATTCCAATGGCAGATCTCCCCCACACCAGCCCTATATCTGCCCCAAGGCACCCTTGGTCAGTGTAAAACACAGACTGCAGACCAAGAGTAGATTGCAGACTGCAAACTACAACTTTTTTTGAGTATACATCATATGCATGTTATTTCCATTTTTGAATGGTAACCATAAATAGGGTTATTACAGCTAATCGTAGTGAAGGTTAGTCTGAATGGTGCTCCGGTTACGGCTCCAGTTAGCCTGAATAACACTTGCTTTAGCTTCTTTATGGTTAGCTCTCAATGGTGGAAATGGTAACACAATTCAGTTAGAAACTCTGCAGTCTGCGTTTCTTTCCTTCTCTGCAGTCTGCATTTTACCCTCAGTCTGCAATTTACCTGCAGTCTGCAGTCCCCCTTTTACACTAACCGAAAGCACCCTTGGTTAATGGCGCAGTAAAAATGTGAAACTAAAGTAAAAGCACATTACTTTAGGCACTCAAATGAAAACCACTTAAAACAGTAAATGGTACTAAAGGAATTACCTTACCTTACATTACCTTTATCTCTATAATATCTAGTTATTTCTGGAATACTACCTTTTGAAATCTGAAACATATGTTAATGACCACAAAACAAAACTACTAACACTAATTTCTTTCAAACATTTTATTGGAAAAAATCTTTTAAAAATAAAACAAGACCTAATTAACCTAAATATATACTCATTGTCTTTTCTAAGGTGTTGACATGAAGTATAAGGTGCCCACTTTCTAAATTCTTGAGTCAATTGCTGTTTTTCTGAGGAAAATTTTGGACAAAATAGCTGTTGTTGCAGAGTACTTTCCAATATTAAAGGCTTGTGCCTTACTTGGTTCTACCTTATTTTACTTTTAGTGAAAAACTGTTTCTCTAATTATTACAGTCCCAAAGGCTGAAGATGTCCACTTGAAATGATTCTTTAACTCTAATTTTGAACCAAACCCTCCAGCAGAAAGAAAGTACTTGAATGAGCAAATAAAGACCATGTGATACAACTTAGTTAGTGCTACTTTCACATTTCTCTGTTAACAGATCAGGACACACATGTAGTTTATGGAACAGAACTGCCTGTTCCAGATGGCTGTAGCAATGCAAGTGCCATTAATGACAATATTTATAGCTGTTATTAAAATACAGAATGAATTGTTGAAATCATTTTGAAGGTCTCTACCAGACCCAGGGGGAAGTACTCCAATATAAAAAGGACATGGGTACTCACTGTACCTTTTAGGGGTTAAAAGGTCTATACCAGGTCTATACTAGGTCTATCATAGGTCTATACTAGGTCTACACCAGGTCTATACTAGGTCTACACCAGGTCTATACTAGGTCTATACCAGGTCTATACTAGGTCTATACCAGGTCTATACCAGGTCTATACTAGGTCTATACCAGGCCTATACCAGACCCGGGGTGGGGGGAGTACTCCCATACAAAAAAAAGGAAGGGGTACTCATCCTACATTTTACGGGTTAAAAAGGCAGTTTTAGTTCCTCTTAGGGTGTCCAGTCTCAAAAGGTCCACAGTGAGAGCTTTTGTGGCACCCTTTAGGCTATTGAGCTGCAAAAACTGCGACACAAGATAATGTGGTTTGAGAACTGGTACCTCTTAGGGGTGAAAAAATTCCAAGTAACGCCCACACAACAGGATCTTCATGTCTCTTAGGGGTTCGTTTCAAAATTTCCATTGAGCACCCCTGTCCTTTTCATATCGCAGTCCCCCCCCCCCTGCCCCCTCTGGGTACCAAACATATATGAAGATTTATAGTTTTCAGTTTAGTTTCAAAATTTAAAGTAAAGAATCAAAACTGCCCTGTTTGTATGAAAACACTTATTAACACATGATATAAATTTCAATAAAACCTCTATTTTCATATTGTAATTTATTGACAAAGCCTGCTTTCTGCTTGACACTTCAAGTCTCACTAGTCTTAACATCTAGTCTCTCCTTCCAAGATGAATACATTTTCAAGCAGTCATGTAATGAGAGTAAAGAAAATCATCAATCAGGAGATACTGTGTTGATGTACCACCAAATTCTCATCACTAACAAAACAAATGTATGGAAATCAGTTTGGAGAATTTAGATTTTAACTTTGAGACTGAAAAGGTTAAAGCTACCAATATGACAGCACTAGATCCAAAGCAGTTGGTTTTCTTTCTAAATTCTTGCATGAAGATGTTATCCTAAAAAACGTTTTCATTTAATGTCAAATGCCTTGGTAGTTAACCATTCAAGCTCATCAATATTCACTTTTGCTATATAAATACTATCTAGTAATATAAAATGCACAAATAAGTAATGCATGGATGTCATATTTTCTCAAAGAAACTGTGATTGTCTTGTGCAATAATACAAGTAGAGCAGTGCTTATCTTTGGATGAAACAGTTAGCTGTAACAGCATATTTGGAAATTGTATCCCGACATAAAAACTGTCTATGTCTTTCATCCACTAGTGAACAGTTATTTTAAACTCCTCTTTTTGCACAGACCTTGTCTGTTTAATCAGAGTCTTCTTCCTCTCCATAGTCATCGGCACCTGGGGCTTCTGAAAGATGAAGATTTGCTTCTAGTTAACTATATGGCTGCTAAAATGAAAAATGGCTGCTACCTCACACTTTGCTCTACAATAGGTGGACAAGGGCTTCTCAAACTAAGTAAATAATTCATCAAGTTTAAACAAAGGAAATCACATCCAATGACAGTGTTTGGATATCTGATCTTAATTAGCATAGATTTATGCAATTTATTTTCTCTGTTTCCCCTTTAGTTTTAGTTTTGATTGAGAAGATGTATCAAACACTCAAGACAGTGTTTGACCACATTTTCAAACATCTCGTAGTTCATCAAAAATAATACTCCGCTGTGCATTGTATTTTCAGCTGTCTTCTTAGTGCTTGGAAATGTTGTCAAGCGCGGCCTTTTGTGTTTAATATATTACATACAATACATTTATTTTGATAAAACACTGATGCACTCAAACAGGTTTGGTAACTAATATAGGGCAAGATACACTTTTGGTAACTCATCATTTGAGCATAGATATAAACATCTAGGAAAATCGCAGCGTGTAGCGTACAAGAAATAGAAAGTGTGGAAAGGTTGACCTTAATTCTTCCAATAATGCTCATGTCATGAGTTATTACTAAATCAGTTTGCTGTTCTTTTTTTAAAGAATTATCCAAAGGCAAAAAATTAATTGTATGTAACATTGGAATTGTTTTAATGCACCTTTACACCTGGTTGTCCAATCAGCATGCACATAATACCAGGATCATAATAAAATTAATATTAATTAGACACATAATTTCACCTACCCACAGCTCCTCGTAATAGTCTTCCAACTTCTGGGTCTCTTGCTAGATCATAAGGAGTTTGCTTTGCATTGTTTCGGATGTCAGTTCTTGCTCCTATTAGTCAATTTTTTTAAAAAGTAAATTTCTCTCAGTGGACTGTAAGTTTCTTGAAACAGCATCTAAATAGTTCAGGTTCTAACCTTCTAGCGGACTGTTAAGGTATGGATATCGCAGGGTTGGTGTCTTACACAGTAGATGTTAAAATCAGGTACTAGTAAACAAAGTTATTTAATTCACTGCTAATTCCTACTTCCAGTGGTTAAAAATGACTTGAGCAGAGAGCTATATGATTTATGTGTCTATATCTGATATCACAATGTTAATTACATGTATACATGATGTGGGCTCATAGTATATCATTCCATATTTAATAATTCTAGTGATTCAGTTTGAGTTATTAAGAATTCCCTTATATCCAGGCCAGAAAAAGTCCTAATTGCTGCATGGTGATCTGGAGAAAGAACTAAGATCTTACCTCGTTCTAGCAGTAATTCAACAATGTCTGGATGACCTTTCCAAGAGGCTGAATGCAAAGGAGTGTCTCCAAGCTTGTTCTAAAAGACACAAAAATTACTGTCAACACAGTGAGAAGAACAAACTGCATGTACAGCACAATAAAAATCTTTGCAAACCTTTAAAAGAACACAAAAGTGATAACGATAGCAATAACATCAGGACAAAATAAATTGTATGTCTACCGTACATAACAATGTTATTAAATGAAACATTCTATGAATGTATGTGTACCTGGACGGAGATCTGTATTCTTGGCTGTGCAAGCAAAACTTTTACACACTCTGTTTTAAATAGTAAAAGTTAAAGTCAACACAACACTTGAAAGAAAAATCTGGTAGATGGACTCTGAGGAAGTTGAAATGTAATTCACACCAAGAAATCAACTCTGTGTGTTGTTTTGTGCTAAACTATAAGTCACTACAGATGTCTATAAAAATTTAGCCCCAAGCTCTGAATGAACTGTTCGACTGTTTATAAAACAAATGCTCCAATTCTCTCTCTAGTATAATTATGGTCATTACTGGTGATAATACATTACAATTTATAACAATTATTATTTTGATGTAACCATAAGGGTGTGCATAATTAATTATGCAAGCTGCTTCACACACACACACACACACACACACACACACACACACCTGTGTGTCCTCCTTGTGCTGCCCAGTGAAGAGGGGTGGAGCCAGCCTTGTCAAGACCATTGACTGACACCTGTCAAATTAAAAACTCAATAAATAATAATGATAAATTAGATAATTATGTGTACTGGTACAATGTATTATATTTCTTTTTAACATAAGTTTTGAAAATTCAATGGAAATTTCAAACAATCAGAAGTGTATCCTTAGATGTTTTTAAGATGTAAAACAAATACTTATTGTTTGTGTACTTTTTGCCAAAACCACTGTATTGACACCATTGCCCCCTCCCTCCCCCGCCCCAAACACACACATACAGAATGACTGATTCAGATGATTACCTTGTTTTGCAGGCATTCTTGAAGGAAGCCCATGTTTCCTAAATAACAAGATCATATTATCAACACCACTACATCCATTAGTACCATAATGCAATAAATTTTACAGTTTACCCTTCAAGATTTAACAAGCTACACCAACAATATACCACTACAAATTTATACACCAGGGTGGTGAGAGGTTTTGTGAGATTAGTGTATGTCTTTCCCAAGAACACAACATGGTGACCCCACACATCCTGGATCTGAACTCCAATGTACAAACCATTAGATCATTATGTCTAAAAACATTAACTGCTAATTAATTAAACTGTCACTGCATACCTCAACACTAATGTTCCCTTTCTGCCTTCTGCCTGATTGACCCAAGCTGCAGAAACAGCCTCCCTGTCTGTTACTTCCTGCTCTATTCCTTTCAATAAACTACATGACTTCCATAATATTTATTACATGTACAACTTACAGTCTTTGCTGATTGTTGCAGAAAACATCACTGATCAGTTTTAAATGAACACCAAGTCAAATTCCAACACTGTAAGTATTACATGTAACTAATCTCTCTCTACATGTAACTTTGATGACAGCTTTAATCCAACGTTTTGCTGGTACGTGTTTAAATGCTACTGGATTTAAAGAAGGACAGTGAGCCAGAGTATGGCTCAAGAACACAGTATAAACGTGTAGTTCAACAGGCTAAGGAAAAGTAAATAAATTTGACTTGATTTACCACTCTATCCACACACCTCCACATCGTAAACTTGCTAGCTCAATATTTTTAGAAACCAATACACAGATGTTGATATCCAGTTTCTTTCTTCAGTTTGAAAAAAATGGACATCTGCACATATGTAAGTAATGAGAAATAAGTTAAAGATCATTAATTAAAATGAAGGAGGATGCTAAAATTGTTACCTCTTTTAGCTGCTTCATGTAAGGGATTTTCTACTGATTCAGTATGTTCACCAACTGAAAAACATCAAATATGAAGTTAAAATAATTATTCCCTTTTCAAATTACACAAAAAATATGGCTGTACAGCAGTTGTGCTTTCACTTGTTGTACTGACACGACATAACTTGCTGTTATAGACTGTTAAGTTAGTTATCAAGTTTGGAGGACATGTTAGTGGGGGGGGGGGGAACTTTATGACTAGCTTCTGTACAAGAAGTGATAAAGCACTTTTCATGAACTGATATGTTAGGGTGTGTTACATGAATACAAACTGCAATCGTGGACAAAACTCTTGATGGCACTTTTTCACACATGGTCAGCAAACAAAAACACGGTATAGGTAGGTATAGCAATCAAGGTGTACTCAGTTCACAAAAGCTGTCACCAGTGATCAATACTAGTGATGTTAGAGATAAGGTCTTCATGATGCAGCATAAGAGCCTGGCAAGCAAAAACAGTTTTCATCACAATTAATATGAGCGGCACTTACCATAATTAGATGGTATCAGTCCTGTTTTGTTCCCAACCTTGGCTTTCCACCATGGTCCAGCACTCTGTTAAAAAATATTGAACATAATAATAAAATATAAGATTATGATCATTTTTAACTAGTTCTGTATTGACAGGTACTGTTTGTTTTAGAATGTCACAACGTTGAGGAATATAACAACTCACAGACATTTAGGCCAAAAGAAATGATGCAACTGGAAGATATGTGTATTTATCATAACAAGAGATGTCAATTGAGGTGGCTTCCCTCATAAGCCTGGTGACTTTTTTGGAGATCTCCTCTCTCTAAGTTTATGAACTTTCAAAATTTATGTTAACCATGTCATGCAGAGGTAGCCTGCCAAGAACAGATTCAGAAAAACCAGAAACAAGGGCTGAACCATCAGATGACATGACAACTTGAAGAGAAACAAGAGCTTGCCCTTGATGCTATTTTCTTCGTTCTGGGAGTTTGATGATGAAAATGCAATAAGACTCAAATGACAACTTTAAAATACCCTAGTCAATAGAGGAGGTCGGAAAAAATAGCCCCTCTCCCTAGTGCCTACGCCTACAGTCTACAGTCCAGATCTTTTGTTATAACTGTGAATGAAGGTTAATGTCTAGTTTTCAGTTTATCCCAAATAAAAATATTTGAAAAACTGCAAAATTTATACTTTGACATTGATTCTTTTGGAGGTACAAAGTTTATCTCCCCACTTGGGGAGTAAAGTTCAGTTATAAAATTTAATTAATGTATGAAAATTTGATCCATGTTTGTGACTCTGTTTGACAAAGGTAAATTGAAAAAGAATAAACCTATGCGAGGAAAGAGAGAGAATTGACCAGGGACTGCAGAGGGGGGAGAAATGGTAGCACTATAGCCCTAGAACTGATTTCTTAGGGCTCTAGATGCATGATAAATGGCAGAGCAGTGATCCCTAATGCTTGTTGTTCTTGGCCATATTCTTTAGCCCTACCAGTTTAAAATGGTTACCACAGTCCCGGTGCACAAGTTTAGGTCTTCTGTTACAAAGGGAGACAAAAAAACGCTCTTTCCAAATATCTCACCAATAAAGACATTGTATTTTTTCTGGAAAACTAATGTTGGGAAAACCACTTTGCACCTTAACAATCAATGAACCCGCAAGTAAGCTCATGTATGTTACAAACAAAACTAATCGTTAATTTCCGGTACACGTACTCGCGTAGGAATGAAAGGTTTTTACTGTTATAAAACAGAGGTCACGCTTAAAAATACCCTTACATGTATGTGTAATATTAGATTATGAGACCACCTAAGTACGTAAGCTAGATAGCATTCCAACACTGTCTTTACTTGTGCTCAATATTCAGCTAACACGTAAACTGAATTTGTACGTTACCCTATCGACTATGTACAAAATATCTCCTTCCTCAAAACTGATCTCGTCTGGCTGCAAAAGAAGAGAATGAAAACGGCAAATAAAGTCAGGTTAAAACAAAACCAGTATTGTGGCGCTGTTTATGTTGTAAGCTTGTATACGATCGAAACTAGGGAGCTATCGATCGAAAGAAGCCACTTGAATCCGAATATTTCAGTACCTGTTGAGCTGTATAATTGTACAAAGCCCTCACAACCTGCACATGACCTGAAGACAGAACATCAAAGTACCGTGAAAATTTGAAAAGAATTAGCAAAAATCGCTGGATTTTATCATACCTGGTCTGGGAATTGGAGGGGGAGGCCTTCTCGGTCCAGACATTTTGAAAGCGTAAGTATTAGGAAGTAAATGATGCGCGTGCGCCTGTTTTTATGAGCCAGCAGGAAGCGTGCGGTAAATCCAAATGAATATGTATACTTCATGTAAGTCACAGAAGCTATTAAAATCAATATGGCGGAAAATGTGCGTCTCGATCTCTCAAAATTTATAGAAATCCCTGCCAGTTGGGGCGTCTTCAAGTGGTTTCATTGTGATGGATAAACTTGAAGAACTGTATTCTATTGCATTTAGCTGTAACTGTTTCGAGGAAGCCTACAAAAGGGGAATTTATAACGCGCAGGGAGAGTTGTTCCAAACTTTGAGCTTCAGCTGGGAAAATGACGACATCGATTCAATATTGCTAGCTCTTACTGTGGTCCAAAAGCTTTCTGACAGACTTGGAACACTTCGATGTACATATTTAAAGATTATTGTAGATGATCTGGTCTCCAAGAACCACGTAGTGGATGATTTGTTAAAATATCTGGATCACAGAAATCAGTATGTTGTCTTTTCTGCTTCCAAAGCCATTGTGCTAGTTTTTCAGGCGCTTCCCAAGGAAATGATAAAAACACAATGGTTTCAGACGCTGTTTAATTTTGGTAAAGAAACTAAACAGCCTTGGAGAAAGCTTTACACCATGGAAGTATTGAATAAGATTCTGAAAAATTCTAGAGAAACTCTCAAGAACAGTTATGAAAATTCCCAACAACAGGCCATCAATCAGATGTGCTCCTGCTCACATGAAGCAGGTAGTGCATGTTTGATTAGTACTACTGTTTCAAGAACTGAGCTGGTTGATATGTTGTTGGGGAGTTTAAATTTGCAGCACATCTTGTTTTACTACCTTCCTTTTATTGTGCGACCAAATGGAATGTATTCTTTTCTGAGAAGCTGTCAACAAGTTGGGCCTGCTGAAGATTTTGTTGTGCTTCAGGCAAGTCTAAAATTAGGTGATGCAATTCACAGTCAAGAAAACGTGAAAAGAGAAGCCATTAGAGGAATGAAAGAAAATGACTTAGTTGCATTCTTGCACTGTATTACAGAGCTGGCAAAATATTTGGAAGTCAGCAGAACACTTCAGAATAAGTCTACAGCCGATACAAAATCTTGGAGTCAAGAAGAAAATTACTTGCTAAGGTCCCAAGAGCCTGGATCACAAGAGTTCTATAGAACAAATACGGTTGAACTGTGTGAAGGTAAAACTGATTCTCTATGTGTAACTGAGATGGCCATAACCCATGTAAAGGATGTTACTGTCAATCAACTTTGCACTGTCATGGCAACCTTGATCCAGTACCTTCATTATCCAAGACTACCATCGCTGATTTTCAAGAAGATTTTGGAAGTTTTGAATCACGTGGTAGTTATACCTAACTCATTTATGTTCAGGCAGAAAACCAAATGCACAAAACTGGAGAGGATAGTAAGGAGCTCTTCAATATCCTTTTTAAGTGTTGTTCAATGTTGTCTCTTTGACAAAATACCGAGATGTTCAGGATTTGTTGGATTCAGTGGAACAGAAATGAAGAGTCCCTCAGAATCTGTGTGCAACAAAGTTAGCAGCACTGATCTTGTTGCACTACGGAAGGCTTCACTGATGGTTTTTAAGTCTTCTTTTGTTATGCTGAAGTTGGCCAAAAAGCATGAAGGTACTTATATATGTACATGTATGCAAATTATCATAATTACTGCAAAGTTAGTTTGATTGCACAAGAGCAAATAATCATGTTTTTTT